CCCAAAGGCCCTGCGGACCGGTACCGGTCCGCGGACCGGCGGTTGGGGACCCCTGGTCTAGGGTATGCATGGCCAGCAACCTAAGCCGGCTACTTTCAATGTGAGAAGAATTTTTCAATCACATCGAATGCAAGAAAAAAAATCCCACCCATTTTTTTAATGACATTTTTTAATGCTTTCCAACTAAACTACGGAGAAGGTAGGTTGAACCACCAACACCCTCCAATCCTCTGATGCTCTTATTTCAGGATTGTCGAAGAGGTCCATTCTGGAGCACTTCAAGTTGGCAACTTGTCAACTGTCATGGTCACGGCCATGCACAATACTGTCCATGGTTCCCTACGAGACAGAGAGAGAATAATATGTGATCATGTCAATATATATTTTTTTTCTACAATTCAGTGAAGCCCCATTTAACGTGAGGGCATTTGACACACGTTAATCATCTTCGTCAGCCCCCCTAGTGTGCCAACTCCACGCTGGTGGCAAGAATGAAATCCACATCTGGCTTTTGGTTTGTCTGTTCACAAGGTTGGCAAAATACGATGAAACAATGTCCAGCTACTCACCTGGTACGATATCACGGCAGACTTGGCCCGGTTCACACGTTGAGGTGTGAGGGAAACATGGTCCCGCATATGTTTTAATACAGGAATGGCATTGCAGAGCTTCACCTGAGGAGTAGATTGTGGGTGTTTGATAAATTGAAATTATTTTTTTCTCTCGGCATTTCCCATTAGGGGTCGCCCCAGCATGTCATCCTTTTCTATCAGTTTGTCTTGCACATCCTCCTCTCGAACACCGACTGCCCTCGTTTGGCTTTTGACTGTGCATGAGACTTGATTTAGAGTTTGACTATTTTTGTGCTTTCTGCTGTCTTCGCAATTGATTTGTTTTTTTTTTTGTTCATTGCTGTACAAATTATTTTTTGCTGCGTGTACAGAATTTTGTATACAGCATTGGTTGTTTTTAAGTGCTCTTGACTCATGTCTTACCTGACTCCATCCATTGAGCTCGTCTTCAGTCTTTCTACCAACATATCCTGTCCTGTGAACGTGAACCCACCAGCTAAGTCACCCCCCTCGCCCCCAAAAGCATCTAACCTCGGCTGTACCTCTGATGAGCTCATTTCTGATCCAATTCTTCCTGGTGACTCCGAAAGAAAAACTGTCATTTTGTCACTGCAACTGTCTCGAATGCGCACATCATGGCCAGCCTCGCCAGTGTTTTCGAAACTTTCCCCTACACCCGAACAAGAGACTCTTCTACCACAATGGGGACAAGAATTGAATAATTACATGTATTTTGAAACAATCAGACTTCATTCTTATGGTCTGGTAGTTGCTACTCATGCTGAAGTTATTATGGGGGAAAAAGTGTTCTCGTGAAATTATGATTCGTCACAGTTTTTGCATTCTTTTTGAGCCCTTTGTTGTAGAATTACGGCTTGTCAATATTTTGTCTCAACTCAACTGTATTTATAGAGCACTTTCAAACAGCCATCGCTTTTATAAGGGGGGGCTTATGTTGTCTCATGCAACATAAGCCCCCCTTATAAAATTGCTGATTTATTCTTGTGAAATTGCAGTTTGTGATAGTTAACTTGTTTCTTCTGAAGTCTAGACTGACTGAAAAAGAAAATGACACTCACCAGCTGTGACCAGCACGGCGACGCAGAAAGCCAAGATCAACCACTTCATTGTCGTGTTCACCACAGCAGACTATTGTCGACTTGTCAGTTTACGCTTCTTCCAATTGGTGATCACCTTAGTCAAATGTTCTTGTTTGTTGTTCTTTTATACAGTACCGTATAAAAATATTTGCCCCCTTCCTGATGACTGTGTTCTTGGAATATTTATCATACACGAGTTACAGTTCATCAAACCGATTTTAATATCACACAGAGACAACCCAATAAAATACAAAATGCGGTTTTCAAATGACAATTCAATTTATTAAGGCACCAAAAAAAAAAAAAAAAAAAAAAAAACAACACCTTTCTGACCCTCTGTGAAAAAGTCATTGCCCCCAGAACCTAATCATGGTTTGTGCCAACCTTGGCAGCAATAACTGAAATCAAGCATTTGTGATGATTGGTGATGAATCTTTAACATCGCTGTGGAGGAATTTTGGCCCACTCTTCTTCGCAGAATTGCTTCAACCCCGCCAGATTGAAGGGTTTTTGAGCATGAACTGCCAGTTTAAGGTCACAGCATAGCA